CTCGGAACCCTAAAAACGCATTTCTTAGGGTTGGGTTTGATGTCGTTTGCCTGGAGTTTCATGAAGGTTTCCTCTAGGTCTGCTGTGAGCTGGTCAGCCTGTTTGGACTTGACCACGATGTCATCTACATAAGCCTCAATGGTTCACCCGATGAGGTCCCTGAAACACTTGAGCATACAATGCTGGTATGTGGCCCATGTGTTTTTCAGGCCGAACGACATCGTGACATAGCAGAATGATCCAAATGGGGTGATGAAAGAAGTCACGAGCTGGTCAGATTCTTTCATCGTGATTTGATGGTACCCGGAGTACGCATCAAGGAAGTAGAGGGTTTCACACCCTGAGGTTGAGTCGACTACTTGATCTATACGTGGCAAAGGAAATGGATCCTTTGGACATGCCTTGTTGAGATTTGTGTAGTCAACACACATTCTCTATTTCCCATTCTGTTTTCATACAAGGACGGGATTGGCTAACCACTCGGGGTGATATACTTGCTTGATGAATCCAGCCACCAAAAGCTTCACGATCTCCTCACCGATGGCCCTGCGCTTCTCCTCGTTGAAGCGACACAGGCACTGCTTTACCGACTTGGAGTCTGGCCTGATCTTTAAGGCATGCTCAGCGACTTCCCTTGTAATGCCTGGCATGTCTGAGGGTTTCCACATGAAGATATCTCTGTTGGCGCAGAGAAAGTCGACGAGCGTGCTTTTCTATTTGGAGGAAATCATGGTGTCGATGCGCACCACTTTTTCCTCGGAACTGCTGAGGTCTATGAGGACCTCCTTGATGCCCTCCGTGGGCTCAAAAGATCTAGCCGGTCGCTTGGAGTCGGGTGCTTCCTCGACGGTCCCCTCCTTGATGATCTCGAGCTCCTTAGAGGTGATAATCATCGAGGCGTGCTCACAGCACTCAACTTCGCACTCGTAAGCGCATTGGAAGGAGGTGCCAATGGTGATGACCCCACATGGGCCTAGCATCTTGAGCTTTAGGTAAGTGTAGTTGGGGATGGCCATGAAATTCGTGTAGCACGGTCGTCCCAAGATGGCGTGGTAGGTTCCGTGGAACCCGACCACCTCGAAGGTGAGGGTCTCTGTCCTATAGTTGGCTAGATCCCCAAAAGTGACGGTCAGGTCGATCTACCCGAGCGGTATGGCTTGTTTCCTCGGTACGACGCCATGGAAAGGTGCCTCGGTCGATCAGATGTGCGATCGGTCGATGCCCATGGCATCAAGCGTCACGGCGTACATGATGTTGAGGCCGCTGCCTCCATCCATCAGCACCTTGGTGAGCCACTTCGTGTCGATGATCGGGTCGACCATGAGCGGGTACCTTCTCGGCTATGGGACGCTCTCTAGGTGGTCGGATCGATCAAAGGTGATGGTGGACTTCGACCACCGGAGGAAAGATGGCGTGGCTGGCTCGGCCTTGTAGACCTCGCGACGCGTGAGCTTTTGGTGGCGCTTAGAGTCATAAGCCGCCACCCCACCGAAGATCATGAGGCAGCCATCTAGCGTTGGAAAGCCACCATCCTTCCCCTCAGCGCCGTCCATCGCTGGCTCAGGCTTCTTCCTCTAGTCCCCCTTTTTGGAGCCGCCAGACAGGAAACGCTTCATGAGGGTGCAGTCCTTGTACAGGTGCTTGACGGAAAAGGCATGGTTTGGGCATGACCCCTCGAGTAGCTTCTTGAAGTGGTCGGGAGCACCCTCGCTGGGTGCCCGGACACCTTTCTGCTCGACAGCGGCCATGAGCGAGCCCTCGTGTCGCTGCTTATTCTTCTTCTTGTTCGGGTGGTTGGAGGTGCCCTCGCTAGCGTCCTCGTCTTGCTTCGCTTTGCCCTTGGGGCGGTCGAAAATTGCTCCGACCACCTCCTCACCTAAGACGTGGCTGGTCACGATGTTGAGGAGCTCCTTGGTGGTCCGTGGGCCCTTACGTCCTAGCTTGTGGACCAGGGACTCCCAGGTGGTCCCGGACAGGAAGGCTCCGATGACATCGGCGTCGGCGACGTCGGGCAACTCGTTGCATTGCCTGGAGAAGCGTCGCATGTACTCATGGAGAGTTTCCCTAGACTTCTATCGATAATTCTTCAGATCCCAGGGGTTCCCAGGGCATGTGTAGGTGCCCTAGAAATTTCCCACAAAGATCTCCTTTAGGTCCGCCTAGGTTTGGATTCAGTTGGGCGGAAGGTGCTCCAGCCATGTTCATGCCGAATCAGCCAGGAACAAGGGGAGGTTGCGGATAATGAAGTAATCACTATTCGCACCACCGGCTTGACAAGCAAGTCGGTAATCCTCGAGCCACAGGCCGGGGTTTGTTTCCCTGGAGTATTTTGGGATGTTGGTCGGTGGTCGATACCACAGCGGGAAAGCCGCGTTGAGGATCTATCGGCCAAAAGCCTAGGGCCCTGGTAGATCGGGGCTCGGGCTCTAGTCCTCGCCGCTATCGTAGCGTCCACCGCGACGAGGATGGTAGCCGTGGCCAGCCTCCTCTCTCTTGTCCCCCTGTCCGCGTCTACGGGTGTCCAGGGTGTTACGTGCGTCACGGTTGGGGCCGAGACGCTCATGCACCGGGACCATGGCAAGCCCACCGTCGTCGTGCGGCGCCTGGTGGATGGATACATCTCGGCCATGTCATCCTGAAGACACGCGCTGACTGGCATCGAGCTCGCATCACCAAGACAACGAGATTTTCGCCTGCTGCACTACTGCGTGCTCGAGCAGCATGCGGATCTCATGATGGGCCCGATGGTCTTCGGGTGTCGTGGGCTCCTGGAGCCCTCGAAGCAAGGCCATCGTGGTAGCTATGTTCTGGCTTGCCCGGGTGAAGTACGGGAGGCCTCCGTCGTCCTCAATGATCCTCCAGTTTACGTCGCGAGCGATGGCGCACGCAGGCCTCCGTCTCCACGACATTCGATCTAGCGCTCGAGCTCCACACGCTCCAGCTCCAACTGGAGTCATGCATCCTCGATCTCCTTATGTCGTGCCCTTAGCTGCTCTACCCACAGGCGAGGCGGGGCCCCTGCATCTCCCTCGACCTTATCATCGGGGTGATCCATAGGAGTAGCCCATCCCTCATGGATGCTTTCAACGCGTCCCTCGGGGGTGCCTGCCATGAAGCATTCTCGCGAGGGGTGATGGCGCCCCCTGCTGGAGTCAGTATCGGAGACCGTCTCTGAATCTCCCATGAGAAGGTCGTGGAAGGATTCCGTGACGTAGTCCATCATACCCACGAATTCATCATTCGTGGGGGATGGGTGCATGTGCTGTGCCGCGAGGTGACCAATGGTCCTTGCAGCGTTGCGCAGACCGAACGGGAACGCTGTTGGGGCGCTCCGGGTGAGGTATTCCGGGGAGAGCGGTTCCCCTCCGGCAAGCTATATCATGACGTTGGCGAACGAGAAGGTGAGGCAGCGCAAGTCCTCCCTGGACAGTCTGGGTCCTAGGAAGGCATCGAGCTGGCATTCTAGCCTCCCATAATCGAAGCCGAGGAGCTGGTCGCTTCTAGGGGCACAGGCCTCTAGGGCGTGCAGCTGTAGCTCTTCGAGGGCCTCGACGGTTGCGTCGAGGCCGATGGAGCGAAGAAGTTGGACGGGGATGGGACCCCGCGCCAGCTCTCCCACCACGGTGACGAAGAAATCTAGGCTCCTAAAGCGCACGTGCACGCCCGGGACCCAGCTGACGCCATGGCAAGCCATCCATGGCCTGTTGTGGACGACAAGATGCGCAAAAGGCCCCTACCTGATGCGCCAACTGTCGGTGTTTCGAATCACCGTCTAGTAAATTTGTGATTTGCGCGTCTGGCCCGAATGGTGTGCTCGGAGGACACAAGAATTTATATTGGTTCGGGCGGAATGTCCCTACGTCCAGTCTGCTGCTACTCGTATTACCAACACTGGTTTGTAGTAGGGGTTACAAATGGGCGAGAGAGGGAGCAGGTCCCAAGTCTCTGGTGAAAGGGTCGAACGGAGTTGAGTCTCGTTGAGCTCGTTCCGCCGTTCAGCGTCATGCCCTTCGTAGGGCGTACTACTTCCCCTTTTATAGATGATGGGAAAGGCGCAGGTTACACGAGAGAGAGACAGAGACAGAGAGAGAGAGAAGCGAAGGAAAGAAGGCCTCCGGGGTCACGACGCCCTTCATCTCCTTTACGCGGGTCCCGCCGGTGCTGTAGATGATGATGGGGACGACTTCACGTCGCGACCCTATTCATCACTGGCACTATACACGAGCGTCGTCAGCCGGTCGTGGCGCTCCATTCCGTCTCGGCGGGCGACATGGTTAGCAGATACCCCCGTCAGAAGTCGTACGGGGATTAGGTAGCATAGCGCCGGCACGCCTGACACTGTTGGCGACGTGAGTCCTCAGGTATGGCCCGTCATGGCCGCGGGTCACGTCAAGACGCGCCTACTCCCTTTCTGGTGTCAGAAGTTTGACCCTGGGTTCGTGCTCTTAGACCCGTAGTGGCTGGAGATGGTACGGACACCCGTCGGGCGAGGCGGAATCTCCCTTCGAGGGGTCTGGCGAGGCGAAGTTCGTGACCGGGGGGTCGGACGAGACGGAGCCCACGCCCTTGGGGTCAGACGTGACGAAGCCCACGCCCTCAGGGTCAGGCATGACGGAGCCCGCGCCCTCGGAGTCGGATGACACGGAGCCCGCACCCTCGGGGTCGGGCGAGACCAAAATACGCTCTTGACCGTTCGGGCGAGTTAGCATTCACGGCCATCAGGTTCCTTCTTTCAGGCATCCCTAATACTGATACCCGATATGGACCTACGGTGTATTTCACTGAGGTAACTATAAATAACATGTTTAAACAGTAGAACTGGACGGTGGCAAACAAAAATAAATACAGTCGAATAATTGATCTGCCACTTAAAAGATGGTTACTTTAATTATGCACTCTCACACATAGGACCACCTGAGTCGATGACAACTGAACCCGAGTGACTATAATCAAAGCCCGTCTAGGAGGCACAACAGTCTACCACAGGGGTGCGCTAAAACTCAATTAGCCCTGCGACCACGACGCCGAGGCACTGTCCACCCATCGGCGTCGGGAGCAGGGTTGGAGTCCACTGCCGTCTCTTCTGCCGCAGCCGCTTCATCATTCATCACCGATGTGTCATCATTATCATTTGGGATATCGCTGTCGTCGGCTACTATCTATTCATGAGAAAAAAACAATTACAGTTTGCCAAAGAATTGCACATAGTGTAATAGCAGTTCACCAAGAGATAAAATGGCAGGAACCAAACCAATATCATCACAACAGAAAAAAAAGGACTTGGCTGCTAGATGAACTATATTTGTTTCAAGGTGGATCGATGATGCTACTATAAGGTTCAATGGTCTGAATGTACAATAATATTGTCGGGGTCTTATTATATTGATTGATCCTGACATTCCAAATTCGATATTGAAAACTTATGACAAAAATCGAAAAAATATTGTCCTGTGTTCCTGTATCCAATTTCTGGTTCTGATTAAGTGATTCTCATATTATTATATAATAAGTCTGCTTTTATGCAGTCACATAGCCTGTTCGGTTGGCTGGTTCATATCATTACTGGTTCGTTTATGTGAGAGAGAAGTACTGCTGACTGATTCATGTGAATAGTATCCATGTGAGGGGGCTGGCCAGCCAGCCCAGCCAGCCAGCCCCAGCCGATCAGGCGACAATCCACAATGTAAAACAATAGTGAAGCTCATCCTCTTTTTTTTTTGAAAGTAAATATCCTGATATTTATGATACCAAATAACTTTAAACAGGTTCGTAGAAAAATATCCTGACATTTTTTTAAAGTAAATATCCTGACATTTATGATACCAAATAAATGCATTATCAAGACATCTCAAAACAAGATCGATCGATCTCCCAAAAACGCAAATATACTGGGACTCGAACTGCACCAGCCCATGGCTTAAACGAACAAAACATACAACCCACCAGTTGAAGCTGTCCCTCTTCAATTATATCCGAGTATCCCAATGAAAGGCTTGAGGCAAATTGCATTTGCATCGAAAAGACCACATACTATAACAAAAGCTATACGTCGACTCATTAAAACTTAAGGCGTTTGCAAAAGAAGATTGGTAACACATCGGTACTAAATTGCAGCAAAAGATAGTTGAGAAGCGTGAACAGTTGCAACACTGAAATAGTGAAATATAAATCAGGAAAAGGGAGCATATTATGGTATACTAGAAAGAAATAACAGCATGTACAACTGCCTGGGAAATATACGATTCAATAAAATGCAATGACAATACATACCTCTCTACTTTGAGAAACATCATTTCCCTGAACATGTGAATTCTTTAGCTTCTCTATAGGAGAATAGTTACTTTGCAGGCATTGTTCATGTATAAACAATAATTGATCAGCAACCTGTTTCAAAAAAATTATTGAAACTAATGAAGATATACCATGCTTTGTATGACTAAATTGAAGAACACTTCAAAACAACAGAACCACTACGTTGATTATTGTAAGAAGTTTATGTTTGGGCGTTATGCAACAGAACTATTCAAGTATACATTGAAGATAAATTAGATGGAGTAATGTGTAATATAAAACGACCTAATTTCTTCTAAAGAATTACTAGCTACTATTTACTGATAAGCCATAAAGCGCACAAAATTTTCCCAATCCCAACAATTAGAATGTAAAAATTGAAGTAGTACAATTCAAATCCAAATTTCCATCCATGTTCTTATCAAACCTTATTTCTTAGGCTACCTATCTGGCACAGTGCACTTCAAGGGCAAGTATCATAATCCGATAATGTTAATATCAACTACAATAATGCCTTGGGAACAACTGTCACATACTATTAGGTAAGAATAGTAAAATTGTTCATGGTTTTATGCTGAGAAAGCAGTGGCGGATCTAGGATTTTAGTACAGGGTACGCCGCACCAAAAAATTTCTTATGCAATTCGGTAAAACCATTTTCAAATCGGAAAGCCATATTCCAGTTCGGTAAAACGACATGCATTAATAACATGATAAGCCTTAAATTCAGCGATTAAGCTAGAACACTAGTACAGATTTCGAAATCACTGTCGGTTCAAAAATGCCATCAGTGTTGATTTTTAAACTGGCATAACTAAAGCGGCAGTGATGATGGCGCTCATCAGTGCTGGTTCTAAAAAACCGACAGTGATGTGGTTTCCAGAAAACCTGAAAAAATGGGCTGAAAATAGGGAATTATTTAAAAAAAATACCAAGAGAGACCCCACCTGGCAGCCACACAGTCATGCGACTTTTCACGCGAAAAACGCGCGCTTCGCGGTCACCAGCGCTAGAATCCCAAACCTCCTGCTTCGCATGCTCATCACCTAACCACTCCAACTGTAAGATGCTTGTGTACATTTGGGATATTCGTTCCCCATTTTATGTCATTTTGATTCGAAATGAATATTTAGGCTCCTAAACGAATTCAAATGAAAATGTTGTCAACTAAATAACACGATAAATCTTAAATTTGAAGAGTAAATTGAAAACATTTACAAATTATAATATAAATAGTTCAAACGCCAAACTTATAATTCAAAATGTAAAATAGGCATAAAAAGAGAGTAAGTGGCTTACAATACTATTTATCTTACAATAAATATCTCGATTATATCATTTTTATCCACTACAAAGAAAATGTGACGTTTATTGACTAGACAATCATTTAAAAGATTACCCATCTTATTTTTTAAATTTATTTTTACTAAATGGAAAGCATTGTAGAAAATACCCTTTAATCATTGTAATCTGCAAGCAATTAGGTTTTGCGTGCACGTAGAGCCAGCAGGTAGCAAAAGAGCATCCCTCAAAAAAAAAGGTAGCAAAAGAGCAGTTTGGGTGGATCAATGAATGATGGCTGGAGTCTGGAGCGGTGGAGCCTAGAATCAAAGACGTATGTATCAGGATCCTCCAAGCCGTGACTACGTGGACCTCCCATCGTGTGGCTGCGTGGGCCTAAAAAAGGCCGTCTCGGTAAGGCCGTAGCAACGGCCACTGCGTTATCATCTTCTCCGGTATGTTTTTCTTATTTTCTTTTTTACAAAAATACATGTATACGTCCTCTAATGGCTGGAACGGCAGGGTATGCCGGTGCATACCTAGCGTACCCTGTAGATCCGCCCCTTTGAGAAAGGCTCAAGGTCTTATGCTGCTGAACTGCAACGAATAGGACTGTTCAACTTTTCGAAAACAGTAAATGAGGTATCCGGTATCCAGGCAACAAAACTTAATTTAACATATTCCACTAAAGCTAAATTGAATAATGCTACAGGCCTACTCTACAAAGCAATAATACAGTGTACCGATAGAGTTTTAACAGGAACTAGGTTCAGTGCAAAAGCTCATCTAGTTAAGTTTAAGTCAGATGCTGAAAATGAATGGACAGGGGAAATACATCCAGAACACTATTATGGTCTAAGTCAGCATTGAAGGATTCCACTATTTTGTCCTCCATCATAACCACCAAGTCTTCGAAAAAATGTGGACCTGAGAAGGAAACCTTATCAATACAAATGGACCCCCAAAGTGTCCAAGCTGATGAAATTGAGGCCACAATCAATTGAATTGATGTAAAAAAAAACTTCCTAAAATAAACTGAAGTTGTATAGGAATTGGACCAAAATCCTAACTAAAGAATTCTGAGTAAAGATTTGCATTTGTGCAACTAAAATTTGATACAGACAACTAAAGTAAAAGAACAATACGAAGATGGCTCAAGGCTGAAAGCTAAACTAGTAGACATTTTTTCCATTAGGTTAACCAAGCTCTAATTTGTATCGAAGTTTTCAAACCATACATACAAGCAAAAATAGGTTTAACAATGACAACTAGCTGGTAGTCTCCAATTCCAAGGTCCCATACACTTTTTACAAACTGACCAATCTGTGTCTATTCAAAAAATTGATTAATTCATGGCAATTGTTTTTTTCTTTTTTGAAAAGTGTAAAAGTGATCAAAATAGCACCATAAGGAGATGGAAAACAGAAGCTTGCAGAGAAGTAGATTCTAGCATGGTGAGGTTCAATTTGCTTTAAGGACATTAGTTGACATGTCTGAAGCCGATGAAAGATTCTTTAAAAAAAAATACAATTGAGGCAGCTTTTGCAGTAACACGGACTGTACAGTGCATTGCAGCTGCCTGACTGCCATATCTTAACAAAATATATTAATTGTTCTAGACCCAAAGGTGTCCAAGATTTCTACTGGACGAAAACTGGTTGAGGATAAATGACCATCTGTTCAACTATTTGGATCAAAATAAACTATAAGGGCAACCTCCAACAAAGGCATAGATCATATTAAGTTCTTTCACATCTCACATTTAATAGCCACAATATCCAATTGTGATGATCAATTCATACGGCACAACGTTCTTCCTCGTCGTGAATCAAACTTTTGCTGGTTGAATCTTGCTGCCTCGCTGGTTGTGACACAACTACACGTAACATAGCAACTTCCTACACAATCGATCCCAGTCCCAAATTGAAAACTTAACCGTATCATCTTTGTTACCGGATCCCTAATCAAGGAGGAAAAAATTTTAACTGAGCATGCTGAAGGAGCTGTACGTACCCTTGGAGCGACAGAACCAGGAAAGGATGGACTCGCCTAACTGGTTAGCCTTGGCGCAGGAGTCGCGGCCACCCCACTGGTTCTTCACTGCCACCTGCAGCACCGTCCACCGCGCGAACACCAGCCTGATAGCCTCTCCAAGCGCTGCCCTCGCCTCGGCCGAGATCGGGGCGCTGTTGGATGCGGCCATGGTGTCGCGCCTCGAGGGTTTGGGACGGAGGAAGGCGGCTAGAGTTTTTGGCTATTTGTGCTCGACGGCGATGCAGACTGCAGATTTTTTTTTTTTTTTTTATAACGACTGCAGAGGCTGTTGGAGCGTACCTGGGGAAGAGGTTACGGGAGCCTTGTTGGGCTGCGATGTCGTTGTATACGTGGGTGGGAGCCTGTCTGGTGTCATGGGTACATGTAACCTGTTTCTTTTCTGCTAAAAAAAACGTAACCTGTTTCTTGGGGGGGGGGTTTGACTAAAGTTTAGTCCTGTCACATCGGGCATTCGGATGTCAACTAGGGACTAAACATGTAACACCCATGACCGTCGGCGAGGTCGCCGTCGACGTGAGAGACAAGGGATCGCCGGATTTGGCCAACGGAACAGAGATGAACCTCTGTCTCTCACGTGTCTATTGACTTTAATTTCGATAATGTCCTTACAGCAAATAGTTCGTGTCTTAAGGCCTACAGCCGGTGGTCCGCATGACCCACATGTCATAGTCTAAATTATTACATAAATGAGAATAATGTTTGCTTGTCTTGGATGCGCCATTTGATCTTGCCGTCTTCGATTGGGACTCAGTCTTGGCGTGAATAGGCTTCATAGTTGCCCCTGGATCCTCTATAGAGGTAGGGGCCTCCAGCCTGAGATCGGGGGGCGTCGACGCCATGATGTTGGCCTCCTCCGTCGCGGCGGGAGTGGCGGCTACGAGCCAACGCGGTGGAGTAAGATGGCGCATCGTTTCGGAACTCGTTGACCTGGACTTGTGCAGCTATGATGTGCGCACAGACCTTCTCGACCTCTGGAGTGTGAGGGAGTTTGTCGATCTCGTTGAAAGCGACAACGAGATTGGCGCTTGAGTCTGATAGACTGGCTAGTCGCCAACCATGTCAAATGCCTCTTCCAGATTGCGTTGATGGCGGCGGGCGGGCGCGACCATCTTCGCCGGTCTCAGGGGCCGCTTCAGCATCTGGCGACGTTGGCGATCGGCATTCTTCGCTAGACGAGCGTCGCACTCTTCAGCGGTTTCACCCTCCTTGGTAACAATATCATGGCTGACGTGGAAAATCATGCCCCCGAACCCCGAAGGGAAAGTAGGGCAGCTCGACAGGGTCCTGGTTGAGCCCTTAGAAGAATCGTTGGGGTTTTCATCCAAGACGTGGTGAAGAGATTCGATCGGAAGAGGGGAAACCTCCGAGAGCTGACGAATGGACACCATGTTGACCACGGGCATGGGCTAACTGGAGTCAGTTGGGTCAATCACGTAGAGGTCGGTGACACGATTGCGTTCGACGTGGTCGGCGAAGAGGTGGTGGACGGCGTCCTAATACGTAGATCCTGCACCCTCCAACCCGAAGGGGTAGGGCCTCAACGGGTTCTCCATCGGGGCTTCATAGTCATCCAAGCGAAGGCCGGTGGCAGGAAGTGGTCGGCGCTGCACCGTGCGCCCTTCTGGAGTAACCGTGATCACCAAATCGGAATCTATCCGCCTTGCGCGGTGTGGCCGAGCAGGTCGCTCGGTTGCTGTGGCTTGGTGATCTTGAAGCGTAGGAAAATAATCACTCGCTCTAGATCGATCTAGGACCGAATCTACGAGGAGTTAGCATTCTATTAGGCGATCCGTGACCCGATCGATGGATGCGATCAGGTCGTCGTTGTTGATGGATCTCCTGATCTAGCGACGTGGCGTCGGGACCGGAGATGTCATTGCTAGTGTCAGCGCAATCGGCGCAGGGTGGTCCTGCACCGCCTCCATGATCTCCCCATTGCCGTCGGGGCCGATGACCCAGGTCATGGATTCGCCCGTGAAGATCTGGCCTGGCTCGAGGGGGGCCATGGAGCTTGGGAAGGTGACCATCTAGTTTGCCATGGATTCAGCACGCACACCCCCTACCTGGTGCGCCACTGTCGACAAAATCTGGTCGACAGTCTACCAAGGGGATGCCCATGGTAGTAGATGAATCGATGGAGGTGCGTGTGTGGAAACCGGATGGTGACATAGAACGCAAGAGACAACGATTAGACAAGTTTGGGTCATCGGCTTGACGTAATACCCTACGTCCTGTGTCTTTGTGGATTGTATTGCGTGTGCTCAGATGAAAACGAGGGGGTCCCTACCCGCCTTATATAGCTTGGGGGTAGGATTACAGATCGGTTATTTTCATTTTGATTGGTTTACAACATAGGAAGTTACAAATCGTACAATATCTATCATATCCGAGCAGATTTCGTAGATCACCGAGGATCTTCACGTTGCCTTGTGAAGCACGTCGTCCTGCGGCATACTTCGCGTGGCATTATCTTGCGAGCTGGGCCTCGACTAGTGGCGCGACCTATGCATAGTCTTGTGGGCTGGGCCTCCCCTAGCGGCTCGACCTATGTGGAGCCTTGCGGGTACCAAGGGTCATACCCCCATAGTCCCCAAGCCGGAGCATTGGGAAACCTCTACTTCACAACATAGTAGTCCTCCTAGGTCTTTGATGCAGCAGGTAAACCTGTTCAAGACAACAATACCTGAGGAATAGTTGTGTTACCTTTCATGATCAGACGATGGTCAAGCACTTGTTGAGGCTGCGCCGTGCTGGCTTCTAGATCAGTGAGCATTGGTAGACTAGAGAATACTAGTGGTGTATAGTCTGAATGGTATGGCTTCAGTTGAGAGATGTGAAAAAACTAGATGTATGAGACTGTCAGTAGGCAGTTCCAGCTTGTATGCTATTTTTCCAATGCGTTCTAGAACATTGTATGGACCAAAGTATTTGTAAGACAGTTTAGGGAATGGTTTCTTTGCCACTGATGACTGGGTGTATGGTTGGAGTCTGAGTAGTACCTTGTCACCAACTAAGAACTCCTTGTCAAAATGATGTTTATTAGCTTGTATCTTCATTCTGTTCTAAGCCTCCTCCGATCTTTGCTTCAGTGTCAGTAAGTGTTTGTCCCTGTTCTCAATGATTCCAACCACAGTAGGGGTAGTCTCTTCAGTGATTGAAGAACATGCTCCCAGGTTTGGTTCATAGCCATAGAGTGCTTTGAATGGTGAGCAACCCAGGGAACTGTGGAATGAGGAATTATACCACAACTCAGCTAGAGAGAGCCATGATTTCTAGTTCTTAGGAGAATCTTGCACTGAACATCTCAAAAAACATCTCAAGGCACTGGTTGACTCTCTCTGTTTGTCCATCATATTTTGGATGGTAAGCAGTGGTGAAGTTAAGATTAACTTTGTATAACTTGAAGAGTTCCTTCCAAAAGTGACTAACAAAGACAGTATCTCTATCTATCACAATTGACTGAGGTAAGCCATGCAATTTAACAATGTTATCAAGGAATAGCTTAGCAATTGAAACTATAGTGTAGGGATGCTTCACTGGCAGAAAATAGACAAATTTAGTGAGTCTATCCACCACTACCTGGATAACTGAATACCCTTCTGACTTTGGAAGCCCTTCTATGAAATCCATGGAAAGATCTTTCCATACTCCATGAGGTATTGGGAGGGGTTGAAGCAAACTAGCAGGAAGACTGTGAGTGTGTTTGGCCTCTTGACACACAACATTGCTGAATATAGCTATCCACACTTTCTTCATGCCCTTCCAATGAAAATGTCTCTTCGATCTATGAATGTCCCTAATGGCACTAGCATGGAATGCTGCAATCAACTTAGTTTGGAGTGCTAAATTTGTGCAATCCATATCAGATTTTGTTTTCTGATCAAGCCTTGGTGTAAACTGAAGCCTTTAGCATTTGGGTTCATAATAGCCAATTCAGTGAGTAGCTGTTGTGCTTTTGGATCAGTTGCATAGGAATTGAGCACTTCTTGAATCCACTGTGGTGAAACCACTGCAACTGCTTGTAGTGCATATAAGTGAGCTACTCTGGATAATGCATCAACAGCTATATTTTTTTTGCTTGGCTTGTAGACAATCTTGAACTATAGCCCCATCAGCCTAGTCATAGCTTTTCTCTAGAGATCAGAGTGTAGATTCTGTTCATTTAAGTAAGACAATGATTTATGGTCAGTGAGAATGACAAATTCTTGGCGTTGAAGGTATGGACGCCACTTCTCTACTACCATAATCAAGGCTAGGAACTCCTTTTCATATATTGGCATTGCTCTATGTTTTTGCACAAGTGCCTTGCTCAAATAAGCTATGGGCTGTCCCTGTTGCATTAACACAGCTCCAACTCCTTCGGCACAGGCATCTATTTCTACTGTAAGCTACAACTAAAAGTTGGGTAGAGCCAACACTGGTGTCTTTGTCATGGCTTATTTCATACCGTCAAAAGCCTGTTGAGGCTCAAGTGACCACTAGAAAGTTTTCAGCCTGAGAATGTTGGTAAGTGGCTTTGATAGAACCTCATATTTGCTGACAAACTTTCTATAATACCCTGTAAGGCCAAGAAAAGCCCTAAGCTCAGTCATAGAAGTTGGTGTTGACCATTTTACCATTGCACCAATCTTTGATGATCTGTAGCAACCCCTCTGTCAGATATGAGGTGCCCCAGGTACTCCAGACTTGGTTGGGCAAATGTGCACTTGGAGATTTTGAGGTACAGTTGTTGCTTTCTTAAAGTTTCTAGCACTTCTTATAGGTGTTGAAGATGATCAGCCCAAGAAGCACTATAGATGAGAATGTCATCTAAGAAGACTAGTACAAACTGCTTGAGGAATGGTTGAAGCACCTGATTCATGACACATTGGAATGTGGTGGGGGCACTGGTGAGGCCAAATGGCATGCCCTTGAACTGATAGTGGCCTTGATGAGTTTTGAAGGCAGTTTTGTGTTTATCTGTAGGCAACATCCTGATCTGGTGATACCCAAATTTCATGTCTAGCTTTGTAAAGAATTTTGATTCAGCTAGTTCATCTAGAATTTCCTCTATTATAGGCATTGGGAATCTGTTCTTGATTGTCAAATCATTGAGTTTCCTGTAATCCACACATAATCTCCAACTGCCATCTTTCTTTTTGACTAGCA